ATGCCCTAGAGAGAGAGAGCCCATGGGATCTGCTCTGGGAGACATCAGATGGCCCATGACCAATGAAGGATCTCCAGATCCCTGGGTAAGGACCCTCACTCTGACTCCAGTTTGTGGTCCACTATTCCCTATTGACAACTTCCTTAAGGATCCAGAGAGTGGAGGCTTCATTCCCAGGAAACCTCAGCCATCTGGCCTTGAGCAGTTCCTGTAAGCCCCCATCCCCATCCCCAGGGTCTTCAGGACTTCAGTACACGTGGCTGACTTCCAGTTAGTGCCAGCGTATGGGATGGGGAAGGAACTGTCTCCTTGCTTTGTTCTGGCGTCTCTCCTCTAAGTCTCCCTTCTCCAGCATCTCTGTGCCTGGGGCTTTCTCTGACACCATGGAAATCCCTCTGTCCTTGCATGTGATAGCCTGGGAGTGTCTGAACATTAATACTCCCTGAAAGCAGTGCTCAAATGATGTCTAATGGGAGTTGGTGTGTAAACACCCCAGCTCCACTTGGATGAGATAATTCTCCCAGTTTCCCTGCAACATTAAACTCGAGTCACTCATAGTGGCAACTGACCGGATAAAGTGTCCCTTATTGGCTGGTTTCCTTCCCCCGTTTGACTGCTTCCCCCACCCTCTTACCCATGTTTCTTCACTTCTCAAATCAACTCTTGGCACTCAAATCCTTGTCTCAGAACCCCCGTCTGGTGGAACCATATTAAGGCAGGTTTCTATCTGAAAATTCAAACTCAGTGCTAATAGAATCCAGGCGGGAAATAAAACCTAATAAATAGTGGGAGAATCCCATCTCCCATACTTTCAATATGTGTGTCTTTTACAAACCTAGTCACTGGTCAAAGCAGAAGTGCAAATCTCAGCAAGTTTCTGGACCACTAAGGATCAGTTTGGTTGTGATGAGGAAGACCTGGCAATGGTATATATTTTAAGGCATGGAGTGAATTCGGAGACATGACACAGACTCTTACAAAAAGTCTCCTGGAAAATGTGCTGCTATTAACTACAAACTCCCTTACCCTGTAATGATAGCCCATGCATTCAGAGCAGTAAAGGTTAAGCGCCCCATGCTAACACTGGTGTTCCCTGGGGAAGAGTCACATTAGGATGTAGGGCCCTAGAAAGAGACATGGCAATCCAAATCACATATAATCAGTTTTATTGCCAGGTAAGAAATTCATATTAATATAGTGAATACATATGTTTACAAATAAACATTCTTAGAAAACAAACAAATGTTTTTTTTTCATTGTAGGAAGTATTGTTGGTATCATAAACTCTGCAGTTGTTGACAAGTATTAACACAGGTTTACTTGCAGAACATACGGTTACTAAAATCTTTGCACATAAAATATGCTCCATTTACACACAAAAAAACTGGGAGGAGTTAGATGGGGATGCCAGGCGGCGGAGCCCAAGGCAGATGGAGGCTGAGACGCTCTGGGAGGGCAAAGGGAGGTCAGACTCTGGTCCCACTGGGTTGGAAGTTGGGGGGGAGCTAAAGGTAAGAAGTAGAGGCTAGCGCCGTGGCATGGGATGGGGAAGGGATAGGCTCTCTGCTCTGTTCTGGTTTCTCTCTCCTAAGACTCCTCACTCGAGCTGGAGGATCCTTGTTGATACATGGTAGCCACAGTTCTATGAAGCATCCATCATGATCTTTCAGTGTCTTGGTGTCTATCCACCCCCCCCAAAGCAGAATGATTCCTATCAGACCCCCCCACCCCCACTCCTCCACGACCA